TATCAACTGAAGTTGAGGAGAAATGGCTAATTTCCTTTAAACCCAGGTGAGCAAACATGTACATGTTCTACCCCATTAAAGGCTTCTTTCTCATTATGTAGTTAATAACAAAAGATATACTACATGTTTTTGGCTGTGAGACGTAGTTTGGACGAAGTTGTCGGCGATTCTCCCTATAGTAAAGTCATGCAATGTGAATGTCCATGTCGCCGAACCATCTTGCAGTGTAAACAAAGCAGCGACGAAACGCTAGCCCAGATAGTCATGCAGTGTGAAAACATCTGTGACACGACTACTTTTAAAATCATGCAGTCTGAACTCGGCATTAGGGTAATTAGGCAAGTTATTGTATAACAATGGTTTGCTCTGACTATTGATAAAAAAATAGCTTAAGGGGGCTTATAATTTTGTCATTAAAAGGGTTTTTAAAAAAATTAAAAACTGCTTTTATTCTAGCCGAATAAAACAAATAAGACTTTCTCCAGAGAAAACAAAAATATTATCAGACATACTGTGAAAATTTCCTTGCTCTGTTAAACATCATTCGGGAAATATTTAAAAAAGAAAAAAAAATTCAAAGGGGAGCTAATAAATCTGACTTCAACTGTATACAGTATGGTTGCCAATGTAAACTGTATATCATCTGGTGGTGATGTTTGGTACTCAGGCCAAGCAAAATGCTACTGAAAGCTGTATTTAAGGTGTCTACTTAATGTTTGTTAAAACATTTAGCTTTAATTTTTAGGCTAATTATTTAATTTTATTACTATTGTTTTTTAATAATTCAATTAGGCAAAAACAGGTTTTGTAAAATACATATTTTTTATAATATAATACAATGTAAATTCTTTTTTTTTTTTTTTTATAAGGTTACAGGCAAATAACCTAAAAAAAATTTTTTTTTCACCTCGTAAAATCTGACAAGTGTCTTCTTTAAAATAAGACCAAGCTTAAGTCTGCAATTAAAGTGTTGAAAATCATTTGCAGACATTTATTGAGCATCTCATTTTCACGTCTATGTTTATAAAATTGGGACTAACAGTTAAGGGCTTTAATTATTAACTGGGAAATGGTAGGAATTTCCATATGGGACAACACTAAATTCATACTCTACATAGTTGAGTCTATAAGTGCAGGGTTTATGGTGTGTCATTTGGGATGCATCTCATGTCATGTTGGAATAGGCGCTGTTTTGTAGCATATGGTGGACCAACAGCATTCGAGGAAAGTTGTCATGCGTTTTGGCTTATCTGTTTATATCAGGGGTGCTCAAACTCGGTCCTGGAGGGCTGGTGTCCTGCATAGTATAGCTCTAACTTCCTTCAACACACCTGCCTGGAAGTTTCTAGTGTACCTCAAAAGAGCTTGATTAACAGGCTCAGGTGTGTTTAATTGGGGTTGGAACTAAAATATGCAGGACACCAGCCCTCTAGGACCAAGTTTGGGTACCCCTGGTTTTTATCAAGCTAAAGCTACTCAAACAAGAAGACATCTAGGATAGGATTTGATTTTGTCCATAAGTCATCGATTGAATTGTTGTATTATGCGGTTTGCTATTGGTCGATCCCATGTGAGTGACAGTTGATCCCCCCTCAGACCCCTAAACATGATCAGAGATAAGAAGAGATGTTGTGCTTGAAGCTTATGAGGTGCTTAAATTCCAAAATGTACATCATTTGTAAAATAAAACACTGCAATTATGTTTATAAAAAATAAAAATTTAATTTTATGCCAACTTTAAGATTGTTTAAGATTACACAAATGGAGATTGTATAGTTTGACGGGCATGACTAGGCAAGTCATTTTCCAAATCTGGAAACAGTGGGCATGTTGGTCACACACACATACACTAACCGCTCTGACCACTTCAGGCTGTCTTCACACTCCTCGCTCGTCCTGTCTTGAAAACTACTCCTCAAGGGAATGGACACCAGTTTTGTGTTGCATGGGTGCGTTCTGGTGTCTTATTGCACTTTACACCTGATAAAGGCACGTCGATTGGCTTAATCACAGGCACTAAAAAATTTAGATGGTAACTAAGCTGAGTTTTATGTAATGTACAAGCATTTTGGCAGACTGAAGTTTGAACAACTATATTAACAAAGGAAAATGTTGTAAAGTTTTGAACATTATATATCCTGACCACTGGGATATTTGCTAGATTTAGAGCTGACATGGTTGTTGGTTTATTTGATGTACACAGGGGGGCAGATCTGAGTCGTGTTTGATCTGCTGGTGGCCTTTTTCTATGAGTATTTACTAAAATGATTGAACAGTTTCACTGCATTCATGGTTAAATGTTTCTAGAAGATCAGTGGTAAAGTATTGTTTGTGTTAGTAAGTATTTCTGATAATAGGGAGTAATATCATCAAAAAAGACTTAAAGAGCTAGGCCTACTTTAACTTGGTTAAAGTTTAATAAATATTCCTTTAAGACTCCTTATGCCTAAGAAACATTTGTTAGGTACAATTATAGATAGATCACAGGTTAAATATCATTGTTCTAACTTGTAGGCTGCAGATAAATAGACGACACACTTTTTTCCCCTTGTAATTAGCAAGGATGCATTAAATTGTGACAGCAAAAATGTTTTATTTTTATTTCTTCTTCTACTACTATTACTACTACTACTACTACTACTACTCTTACTACTACTACTACTACTACTACTCTTACTACTACTACTACTACTACTACTACTACTACTACTACTACTACTACTCTTACTACTACTACTACTACTACTACTCTTACTACTACTACTACTACTACAACTACTACTACTACTACTACTAATAATAATAATAATAATAATAATCGTATTAATTGTAACAAAATTAAATCAGATAATCCTGCAAAAAAGCTGTTTCCACAAAGTATTTAATAATAATATAAAAATATATTAAATAAAATAATAATAATAATAATAATTATTATTATTATAAATGTTTCTTGATCAGTAAATCATCATATTAGAATAATTTCTAAAATATCATGTGACACTGAAGTAGGGCTGCACAATATTGGAAAAATCTGACACTGCAATATTTTGTTTTGCTGCGATTTATATATTGTGATATGAATAAAATGTATGATAAGACATTCATATGAACATTTTGATGTTTTAAATAGCTCTATTTGGGAAATTTTTATTCATTTAGGTCAACTGGGATTATAAAGTCTTTTTCTATGCGGTGCATCTGCAAAAAGTACGCCTTAAAAATAACAAGCAAAAATAAATAAATAAACAGTGCTTTATGATTTTCTGAAGAGTCTAACAGTATTCAAGGTTAGAAATTGACAATCAATGTAAAATAACAGTCATATTATACAAATAGTTACATTTCCGGGTTTTTCAGTAGTGGAAGGCTTCACAGCTAGGTAAACTCAGATTGCAGTGAATGGGAGAGTACACCAAATATTTTTTTTACAATCTTATTTGTTTAAATAATAAAAGAAAAACTACTGGATGTTGTTGTTCAGAAAAAGGAAAAATAAATGTGGGAGACTGATAACCAAGGGAGTGAATAACGTCAAATAAATTTATACTCCGCCCTATAGACTATGCATTAGAAACACCTCACATAAGCGGTGAATCATTTTTTTTTTTTGTAATTTGAAGCAAAGATGATGCATGAAGATAAAAACGTATAAATGTTCATACAATTTTTAAAAACCTAATAAAATTTAAAACTTTCAAGGATTTAACATTATGATGATCGTTAAACATGTCATCTTGTAAAGAGGGTCCATTGCTTGTGGTTAAATATTTCTTGTAGTTTGTATTATAAAATATGTTTGTACATACTCCTCTTCTATATGTTCGGTCACTTACAGGCATCCTGGTGATTCAGCAGGATTTGATTTGGTATATTTTGCATAAATTACTGCATAATAAATAACGAGCAAAATATATATAAATAAATAAGCAGTTTTCTAGAAAGTCTAACAGTATTCAAATGCAAAAATTGAAAATCAAATCTAAAATAACACGGTCATTATTGTAAAAATTATTTTTTTAAAATTATATTTGATAATATTTTTACCTTTTAAACTTTTTAATATATCATTTAATCCAGCAATGTGACTATTGCGGTTACACACATTGGGATATCAGTGCCCAAACAATATATTTGAAGCCTGAAGTAATGACTTTATGAAAAATCTATAGAAAGCAGTTCTTTTAAAAGGCAAAAATACCACATTATTACAGTTTTTATTGTATTTTTAATAAATAAATGCAGCCTTAATCCTAATTTATCCACATTAAAAAATTATACCAACCCCAAACTTTTAAAATAGGGTCGATTCTGTTTATATCAAAAGAATAAATCCTGCAGAAATGGAAGCTCTGTGAGCATGGAGTCATCTTAATGCTCTGCTATTTCTAACGTTGGGGATTTCTTTAAAGTTTAATGTAAAGAAAAAACAAATAACAACATGAAACATCATCAAGGAGGAAAATGAATGAAGGCATTTGTCTTGTTTTGAATTCACTACTTTTTAAACCACTAATGTGGTTTTGTGGCCACATTTAAATCTTAAATCTTTCCAGTACATTTACATAAAGACATATGACCTTTTTTTTTATTTGTTTACTAATTGATGCACTTGGTTTGCCATCAGTTTTTCATCTCCACCATGATATCTTAACTAAAGCGTTCTTGAGTTAAAAGCCGTTTGGACAGTGGACATGTAATCCTTAAAATCTGTGCCTTAATGTCTCACGGGTGTGTGAAGGTGCAGCTGGATATGGATTTTTACTACTCAACAGCCAGATGTTATCTTTCTCTTTCTTCTCCCTTTCAATGATTGCAGTTCAGAAACATTCCGCTTGGTCAAGCATTAACTGCAGTCAGATGCTGACCTCATGCACCTGCAGTTGCTCTTTTGTTTGCTGCTGTAATGGCTTGTAGTTTTATGTTTATTGTAGTTTGTGTTAAAAAAAGATGTCTGTATGTACTCATCTTGTATATGACATATGTTTGGTCAATCACAGGCATCCCGGTGTCTCAGCAGCATTTGATTTGGAATGGTATGGAGCTTGAAGATGAGTACTGCTTACATGATTACAGGTAAGACATTCCAAACCAGACACTAAAAGCCAGGGAACTTTATTTATATTTTTGTCCAATTCATGGAATATCAGGGACTTTTTTTTTTTTTAATTGTGTTGTTTGACTTCTTTTGTTGTTGTTTTTTTTGTGTCATTTTATCTTTTTCCTGCTTATCAAATGGCAGTCGCTTAAAGTGATAGTTTACTCCCTAAAATAAAACTTTACTCACTATTTAATATCCTTAAAGTGGTTTTAAACCTTTATAATTAGGACTTAGCTCTTAAGCGGCTATTTTAAATACTTTGAATGCTTTATATTTTGTTACAGACATACAGTGTCATCCTGCAGCTGTTTAGCAGCTTATGAAATGTCCCAAACACAATTTTTAGCTGTCCAAAATGGGCAAAAAAAAATTGTTTTTACTCTCTGATAGTCAAAACATGTTCAAAAAATGTTTATGTTATATATGCATTAAAAACAGTCAGGAAAAAGTGTTTTATGTAAGTTCAGATCACGAGTTCACATATGGACATCATTTTTCTCTAAAAGTACATAATATCAAAAGATGATACTTTTACATGTACAAAAATACCTTGGGTCTTAAGAGGTTAATACTATTTCATAAAAGAGCTTGATGTGGTGGTTTTAACCAGTGTTGGGGAAAGTTACCTTTAAAAGTAATTACATTAAAGTTACATTGCATTACAATTTAGAGTTAATCTCCCAAAAAAAGTAGTTGCGTTACTTAGTTACTTTTTTTGGTAAGTAATGCATCACGTTACTTTTGAGTTACTTTTTCACACCTGCCTGAGGCTTGAACTCTTTCAGATTTTGCAGGGTGTTTTTTTTTTGTTTTTAATAGAGTAGCTCTGCTGCATTTATCGACACATTGTATAACCTAAACCTTTATTTACCTTTATAAAAAACAAATAAAAAAAAAAACAATGAAAACTTCAGAGAACTTCCTGATGCTGCCCATGCTATATATACAAATTTATGAAAGTTGAAAGCCATGTGTTTGCTACTTTTGTATTTTTGTCTTAGTAGTTCAGTAAAATCACTGTCCATTGAGACTATCCCCTTTTCTTCCATGTGTTCAAAGTAATGAGAGTACTTCCATCACACAGATGTAAGGTTCTGCCATGTTGGTTTCTGTCTGTTTGCACAGGGAGCTCATTCTCTCATTGAGTGTGATTCAACTTGATTACACTAATTTTAATCCAGCAATTAAAAAAAAAAAGCGAATTAATTCATCTAAAAAGTAACTCGCGTTACATTATTAAAGACGTAATTCAAAAATTATTACTTAATTTTTTTAAGTAATGCATTACTTTACTCCTTACTTGGGAAAGTAACATTATTAAGTAACTCGCGCTACTTGTAATGCGTTACCCCCAACACTGGTTTTAACAGAGCCAAAGAAAGACCAAACATAATCACAAAGTATGCTACACTATTCTATTGTTTATTTAAACCTCTTTAATATTTTTGCCATTTATTAAAAAACAAAGTTGTCAGTTGTCTTGACCAATTAAGAAAAATACAGTATCTTAAATAAAATAAAATAATTGTATGTAAAATCTTTAACTTTTAAGAATCCAAATACATCATGAACAATTTTACATCAGTAAAACCCTGACGATAGCTTGCATTTAAGATTAAAACAATGACAGCAAACAGCTTTGACATTTAAAGTGCAAAAAGCTTGAAGAATTCTAAAGGCAAAAGGTCAGCATGAAACCTTCACATTTATATTGTTACATTTTTCACATTGATCAAGGTAATGTGCTTACAAACTGTCAAAAACTATACCTGACAAAAGTCTTGCTGTCGATCCCAATTGTAAGAGCAACAAACTATAACTTGACTTCTAGTTGATCATTTGGACAAGTGGCACAATGTAGATGTTTTTCAATGAGTCATCTGTTGAACTGCATCCCAATCATCACAAATACTATAGAAGACCTGTTGGAACCCACATGGAATTACACAGAACATACGTACACACAGAAATTAGTCAAGTTTGGTAATGGAAAAATCATGGTTTGAGGTTACATTGAGTATGGGGGCATGTAAGAGATCTGCAGAGTGAAGCAACATCAACAGCCTGAGGTATCAAGACATTTGTGCTGCCCATTACATTACAAACCACAGGAGAGGGCAAATTCTTCAGCAGGATAGCGCTCCTTCTCATACTTCAGCCTTCACATCAAAGTTCCTGAAAGCAAAAAAGGTCGAAGTGCTCTTGGGTTGGCCAGCCCAGTCACCAGATTTGAACATTATTGAGCATGTCTAGGGTAAGATGAAGGAGGAGGCATTGAAGATAAATCCAAAAAATCTTGATGAACTCTGGGAGTCCTGCAAGAATGCTTTCTTTGCCATTCCAGATGACTTTATTGCTAAGTTATTTGACTCATTGCAGAGATGTATGAATGCAGTCATCTAAGCTCATGGGAGTTGTACACAATATTAATTTATTTTCCGCTGTACCAAGATTTTGTATTTTATACTGTATACTGTATTTTTGTTAAGTGACCAGACTTTTGTCTGAGCAAAGTCAGACCTTACTGTCATAATTAGATCATTCAAATTGCTATTTCGGTTTAGAAACGATTAATCATGCAGACATACTTTATAAGCTTCTTTCTTCCATTGAACATAGAAGAAGATATTTGGGAAAAAAGTTTAAAAACTCTAACCACTGGCTTCTGTATTAGGAAAAACAAATACGAATTGAAGTCAATGGTTATAAGTTTTCAGCTTTTTTCAAAATAATTTTTGTATTTAACAGAATAAAGAAAGTCTAACAGTTTTGGAACAAGTAAAGGGAGAATAAATGACAAATTTTTTATTGAATTTTTTGCAGTCACATGCAGTCACCAGGCTGTACTTGATTAATTTGGCATTATGGGAAAATTACTAAGAATAATGAACGTCAGTAAACAGTCAAACTACTTGTGCTTCAAACATGCATGTTTATGATAATACATTAAAATTGAAACGGTGGGATAAGAAAATGGCAGTTTGCAACATCAAACAGCATAACAAGTTGTTTCGTATGGCTAAAAAACAATCAGAGTCAATAAAACCAGAATTTGCACTGCTGTTACATCAAAAATAGGTGACTAGGTCATAGAAATGTAGCTTTTTAGTCAAGGAAAAGCCAGGGAATATAATATTTGGCTTAGAGTGAGAAACTTGATTATAGCAAGTATGTTCAATTGCCACGTTTTGCTGAACCTGGCAAGGTCACCGATACATTTCATTTACTCATGCTCATCTCATTCCAAATTCTTTATTACTTTTGTAGAACACAAACTGAGATGTTTTGCTTGAAGGCCAAGCTGCTTTTCTTTTCTTGATAAAATGAAAGCATACATGTGTGTTACTGCCAGACCATTTTCTTCAGCAACATTAAGTGCAAATTTTTTCCATTCACTTGAACCCTTGTGTAAACTTATGGATATTTTATTTTATGGGATCATTTGGTCATGGTAATGCAAACAACATACATTTTGGTTACATTTTCAACATTCAGTTCCCGTTGTAACCATAAAATGCCAATCTTCAATTCAAGTGCCAGTTAGGCACATCTACAGTTAAAGTCAGAATTATTAGCCCCCCTGAATTATTAGCCACCCTGTTTATTTTTCCCCAATTTCTGTGTAACGGAGAGAAAATATTTGTCAACACATTTCTAAGAGTAATAATAGTTTTGATAACTTATTTCTAATAACTGATTTATTTTATCTTTGCCATAATATTTTTCAAAACACTTTTATACGGCTTAAAGTAACATTAAAGACTTAACTAGGGTAAGTAGGCAAGTTAGGGTAATTAGGCAAGTTATTGTATAACGATGGTTTGTTCTAGACTATTAAAAATATATATATCTTAAAGTGGCTAATAATTTTGACCTTAATGTTTTTTTTTCAGTAAAAATGCTTTTATTCTAGCCAAAATAATACAAATAAGACTTTGTCCAGAAGAGAAAAATATTAACAGACAAATTGTGAAATTTTTTTGCCAAGTTAGGGTGATTAGGCAAATCATGATTTGTTTTGTAGACAATCGAAAAAATAGGGGGCTAGTAATATTGACCTTAAATATGTTTTTTTTTTTTTTTTTAATAAAAAAGTGCTTTTATTCTAAGTGTAATAAAACAAATAAGACTTTCTCCAGAAGAAAAAAAAAATGTATAGGACTTACTTTGAAAAATCCTTGCACTGTAAATATCATTTGGGAAATAATTGAATAAGAAAAAGTAAACCACAGGAGCGTGAATAATTTTGACTTCAACTATATATAACTGCAATACCAACATACTGTACATTCAATTAACAACCTCAGAACTCTCAGTCTTAAAAGATTGATCAGTTGTTATTAAACATCAGTTTCTGACTGGTATATTCGACTACAACCTGTTAAGGGCAAAACAATTAAGAAATGTGTTATGAGAAGTAATTCCTTTTACTCATGCACTGTATTCGTTAGCTTCTCAAGCCTTGTGGCTGCATTGCATGGGCAACTGTGTGATATTTAAGTAGTTATTCACAAAAAACATTTGCTTCATGGCTTTCAAATTCCATTTATGGTAGGGCAACTTAGTTGTTTAAAAAAACTGTCACTTTATTTTGATGGTCCGTTTTTTTAATTTAAGTTACATTGCATCTACATGCCAACTAACTCTCATTAGATTATAAGTAGACTATTAGATTGGGGTAAGGGTTAGTGTAAGTTGACATGTACATGCAAAGTTTCTTATAGTCAGCTAAATATCTGTTTAAGGAGCAGTATCAACAGATATTAAGCAGACAGTCTACTAATACTCAAATGGACCATCAAAATAAAGTGCTACCAAAAAACTTCTCTTTATATGCTCAATGAAAGAGAGAAAACAATATGAAAAGGGTTGGACCAACAGAGGGTAAACTATGTAAACGATGCATTTTGGGTGAGCTTTTCCTTTAAATGCAGCCACTTCTCTCTTGAGCATCCTGGCTCAGCCTGGAACTCACAGATGGTGGATTTGTCATAAATTCTCGTCCATTAATGATCCACATGGACGCTTTCTGGGAAGAGAGTGTGTATGGCTGGATGGCTCGTTGTGCTTCAGATTTGAAGTGAAGCAAATATTTATAGAGGCAGACTATAGACTGTGGCGGTTTTGGGTTTATTATGCCACAGTATGCATGAGTTTTTTTCTCTCCATGTTTTTTTACAGCATCACAGAGGGCTGCACACTCAAGCTGGTGCTCGCCATGAGAGGAGGACCTGTAAACACTAGACGAGGTGCGTATCCACCGGGATTTTTGCTGTTGAAAGTGTCATTGTGAACGACAGGTTCATGTAATGCTGGCTTCATTTTTAAATCTTTATTTTTTTAACCAAGTTATTCGTCCTATTAGTTTATTGTGTTTATTTGTAAAACTCTGGTTTGCTTTCAGCTTAATAACAATACCTTTGAATCTTGTCTGCCAGATTAAATGCCATCACTGCTCTTTGTGTATTAACTCAGACAAATTATGTCTATCATACATGATACATGGCTTTCAAAAGGTCACTGCATTATTAACATAATCTGTACTTTAAGGCAAGTCATTTTACTCGGCAGCCATCTTTGAAATGCCTCTCAGGCAGTATGCTCTGGCATTCTGTCTGAATGGGGACACTTCAAATTCTACAAAACTGTTTGCCAAGCTTATGATTACATTTTTGGAATCACCAATAAAATTAAATGACAACCGTTTCATAATTTTAGTTTCTAAACATTCCAATCAAACAAAATTGGCATATTTTCAGGTTGTCCAAGCTAATGCTCATGCACTTCTGAAAAGAATGAGGGCCTACTCACACTATCCTATCCGAACTGTTGCCGGGCCCGTTTCCCAGATCGTTTGAGAAGTGCGAGTGCTCTGAATCGGGCTCAGGCAATGTTCATTTGGCCGGCCCTGGCCCGGTTGAAAGAGGTTAAGCGTGGTTCACAAATCGAGACGTGACTTTTAAGGGACTGTTTGATACAGATTTATTAATCATTCTTACTGTTCAATGAACGCACACTGTCGTAGTTTATTAAAGACGCAAACCCCTCACTGCACGACAGCTGCACCTTCAGCAAACCTCCTAATTCCTGCAACACGAGGAATTTATGATTGTTTATGAGCGTCAAATATGGCTGATCGGTTTAGAGAAATATTTTACTGCTTGTTACTGCATATCAAATGACTTAAACAATATAACTGAAAAAAATCTCCACTGTGCTGAGCGAGAGCGCTTACTGAACAGCGCATCATCGAAGACGTAAGTGTGCTCAGGCCCAAATGTAATGTGAGTGCGGGCTGTCGGGGGAGACGGGAGGGAGGACAAGCGTGCTTTGGCCCAGTTCAAGGCAACTATACATAGTGTGAGTACGCCCTGAGATCATGACAGCAACCGCATTTATGGCTGTATTACACATTATTATCCTTTGAATAATGCTGGTCTTCAGAAGTAATTTACAACTGGACAGGTTTGTGACAAGTGAAGTCCGAGTAAATACATTTTTAGCTTTGGGTGAACTGTCCCTTTAAGACATAAAAAGATACACACTACATTAGTAAGAATGGTTTGCAAACAAATAACAAGCAAGAAACATATTAATTACTTGCATTTGCTTGCTTAATTTCAATCAGTGACTTCTCAGGCAGTGTGTATTACGGTCAATTCAACTTGTTTCAATCGCTCTTCAGCATTGTTTTCCCCGATTATGTAACGCTACACATGAACGTTTCTGCAACTGTAAACCGCATGAAAACATAATGAGGGTAAACCACTGAGCACGCTTTAAACTGCCTATTGAAAGTCTTAACCAGAGTTCTGCAGTGCATGCTGGCTTTGCTGCAACTTTCTGATCCTTCCTATGTGCTGTTGTGCAATGTTTTTGAGGTCAAGAAAAGAAAAAGAAGCACTGCTCATTATCATTGCAAGCGCACAGTTAGTTAACAGTCTGCTATCGATTAGCGTGACCTGCATCCTGCTTCTTCTGGTTACCTGCAGTGACAGTGACAGATGACTCTGTGCGGGATATCAGCGACTGCCTTGATGCCGGGAGAGAGGAGATGTGGGAAAAATCTCTGCCTAATAAACAGGTCACCTTCCTGGTGTACCGCGAGGGAGACCAGCTCAATTTCTTCCGCGTGGTGGATCGGGGCGATGGGACACTCACACCTGTGTCTGAATCATTGAGGTCAGTTCAAAGAAGAGAAATGACTCGCTAAGAGGAACAACTGCATGCGCACTACACTCTACTTCCCCTTTTTTAGATGCAAGCAGATGTTTCAGAGCTACTGTCTTCATGTGTCATGCTGTTTTAGCAATGAAGATATGCTTCAGCATGTACTGGTAAACATTGCAGTTTATTACATATGCTGTATATCACATAGAATAAAACAGTTGTATATGGTTCCATTATACAGGGTGGGTCATTTATATGGGTACACCTTAATAAAATAGGAATGGTTGGTGATATTAATGTCCTGTTTGTGGCACATTAGTATATGTTAGGGGGCAAACTTTTCAAGATGGGTGGTGACCATGGTGGTCATTTTGAAGTTGGCCATCTTGGATCCAACTTTAGTTTTTTTTTTAATAGAAAGAGGGTCTATTGACACATCAAACTTATTGGGAATTTCACAAGAAAAACATAGGTGTTCTCAGTGGTCTTCACACCATAGACAGTTGCATTCAGGTCACCCCAAAGATAAAAGTCTAAGGGTTTCAGATTGGGAGACCTTGGGGGACATTTAACTGGCCCACGATGACCAATCTACTTTTCAGGAAACTGTTCATGTAGGAGTGCTCGGACATGACACCCTTAATGTGGTGGTGCACCATCTTGCGGGAAAAACTCAGAGAACGTGCCAGCTTCAGTGCATAAAGAGGGAAACATCATCATGTAGCAATATCAAATATCCAGTGGCCTTGAGGTTTCCATTGATAAAGAATGGCCCCACTATATTTGTTGTCTATGGTGTGAAGATTCAAGATGTGCAGCACCTGAAACTACGGTTACTGGAAGCCTGTGCTGGCATTTCTCCTGCGGTGTTGCTATCAGAGTGTGAAGAGTGGGAGAAGAGGAGAAGAGAGAATCCAACACAATTAGCAGTACTTTGAACACATTTTAAGTGGTCAGAAACTTTTAAATAACTCATGAAAGAAAAAATGTTGATGTGTCAATTAACCCTCTTCTTATTGAAAAAACAAAAGTTAGATCCAAGATGGCCGACTTCAAAATAGCCACCATGGTCACCACCCATCTTAAAAAGTTTGCCCTCTCACATATACTAATGTGCCACAAACAAGACGTTAAATTTACCAACCATTCCCATTTTATTAAAGTGTATCCATATAAATGAATCACCCTGTACATTAGATAGGTCCATAAATATTTGGACATTGACATAATTCTAAAATTGTTTAGCTCTATACACCAACACAATTTATTTGAAATGAAACAAACAAGATGTGCTTTAACTGCAGACTGTCAGCTTTAATTTGAGGGTATTTACATCCAAATCAGGTGAATGGTGTAGACCAGGGGTGTCAAACTCAGTTCCAAAAGGGCCGAAGCCCTGCACAGTTTAGTTCCAACCCTGCTCCAACACACTTACCTGTAGGTTTCAAACAAGCCTGAAGGACTCAATTAGTTTGGTCAGGTGTGTTTAATTAGGGTTGGAACTAAACTGTGCAGAGCTGCGTCCCTTTTGGAACTGAGTTTGACACCTGTGGTGTAGACAGTTTGCATATGTGCCTCCCACTTGTTAAGGGTCCAAAAGTAATTGGACAATTGACTTCTCAGCTGTTCCATGGCTGGGTCTGTGTTAGTTTCTCATTATCCCAATTACAATGAGCAGATACAAAGGTCCAGAGTGTGCTATTTGCATTTGGAATCTGTTACTGTAAACTCTTAAGATGAGATCCAAAGAGCTGTCACTATCAGTGAAGCAAGCCATCATTAGGCTGAAAAAACAAGGCAAACCCATCAGAGAGATAGCAAAAACATCAGGCATGGCCAAAACAACTGCTTGGAATATTCTTAAAAAGAACAAACGCACCAGTGAGCTCAGCAACACCAGAAGACCCGGAAAACCACGGAAGCAACTATGGTGGACAGAAGGATTCTTTTCCTGAAGAAGAAAAAACACTTCACAACAGTTGGCCAGATCAAGAACACTCTCCAGAAGGTTGGTGTTTGTGTCAGCGTCAACAGTCTACAGTCAAGAGAAGACTACACCAGAGTGAATACAGATGGGTTCACCACAAGATGTAAACCATTGGTAAGCCTCAAAAACAGGAAGGCTGGATTAGAGTTCTAAAAAAGCCTTCACAGAGCTGAAACAACATGCTATGGACAGATGAGATCAAGATCGACTTGTACCAGAGTGATAGGAAGACAAGAGTATGGAATAGGAAAGGAACTGCTCATGATCCTAAGCAGTGAAGCATGGTGGTGGTAGTGACATGGCTTGGACATGTATGGCTGTCAATGAAACTGGTTTTCTTGTATTTATTAGTGATGTGACTGCTGAAAAAAGCAGCAGGATGAACTCTGAAGTGTTTCAGGCAATATTTTCTGCTCATGTTATGTAAAATACTTTAAAGCTCATTGCACGGTACTTCACAGTGCAGATGGAGATTGACCCACAGCATACTGCAAAAGCAACCAAAGAGTTTTTGAAGAGAAAGAAGTGGAATTTTATGCAATGGCCAAGTCAGTCACCTAATATGAATCCAATTGAGCATGCATTTCACTTGCTGAAACTGAAGGGAAAATGCCTCAAGAACAAGCAACTGAAGACAATTGCTGTAAAGGCCTGGCAGAGCACCACCAGGAATGAAGTTCAGCGTTTAATGGTGTCCATGTGTTCTAGACTTCAGGATATAATTGACTGCAAACGGTTTGCAACCAAGTATTAAAAAGCGAAAGTTTGATGTATGATTATTATTCTGTCCCGTTAATTATGGACCTTTAACAAGTGTGTGTGTGTGTGTGTGTGTGTGTGTGTGTGTGTTAATAAATAAATATATATATATATATATATGTGTATATATATATATATATATGTGTATATATATATGTGTATATATATATATATAGAGAGAGAGAGAGAGAGAGAGAGAGAGAGAGTTAGATATTGTCAAATTTGCATTGTTAGCATAACACAATTTCATTAATTTCATATATCATTGACAAACCTTGAAATTGAAAATGTATCTATTAATATTATTCATTTGAAATATAGATATTGTAATATTTGCAATAGCATGCCTAATACAACTAAAACCTTAAAATTGAATAGAAACACCAATACACTGACATTGGGTGTGTCTCTTATTTCAGAGGCTGCATCTTCCAAAGGATGCATTCGAAGGGCTCTGCGTCATTGTGTCTCATTTAAAAAAAAATTCAAAGGCTTCTTCAAATACAGCCTTAAAACACGTCCTTCATTTCCCAGGTAATAAAGGACACAACCGGTGGATCCTTTGTGGCCTCGAACATTCCAAGATTCATTGCGCGCTAATAAAGACAGGACGTTTTTAAAAGAAAACTCTGGATTAAATGTATGAATTAGGCTTAATTTTACTTGGAAATCTAAACACGTTTAAAAAAATTAAAAGAATAATAAATCTATTACTAAAAAGTGATTTTATAGACAGTTGACATTTTTATGTGTACATGTATCAAAAGAATTATATTTCCAGCTTGTGTAAACCTTGATTTGCTTTCAGATTGCTTAAAATAAGTTTTAAAATCACATTGAAAAAAGACTACACAATTTATTGCTGCTTATAAACGGCAGCTGTTTAGGCTGCTAGGTGATGAGATCTGTCCTTTGTAGGCAAGATCATCTAATTTCAAAACGCTCCGTTCGGCCTGTGAGGATTTCGAAGTACTGACCTTTGAAGTCTTCGTCCTTTGTAGAATTACTAAATGGAATTCCAAAAACCAACAAAACCAACAAACAGCAAAGGTTTCTTGCAAAAAACAGACCATTAACATCACCGATAACATAGTTTCTTCGGCAAATCTCAAAATTTAACAGCATTATCATTTTTAATCTAAGCACTAGAATATCAGAGACTTGGGCAAGCCAGAACACCCTAGCAACTGCATAGCAACACATGGAAAGCTGAGTACTATTATTATTATTTTGTAACATACCTTCGCCCACTGACAGCACTGTAGTGACATTTCACTCACCAAATGTTAAATGTAATTAATTTTTCTCTCTTTTTTTTTGTTTGTTTGTTTCATTTTGACACAGAAATGACAAACTCCAGATTCCATGCATGATTTACAGCTTTTAGTGTGTCAGTCAGCTGTCATTATGACGCATAAAACATTTTCATAGGAAAAAAAGCCTATTGTCAAACATTTTCAGTTTTACACAGAAAATAAAAGTTACAAAAACTTTCATGTTTTATTTCAAATTATATTTTAATAATCTAACAGACATCCAGTGTTGTAACCAGATGCTTTTTTTTTGCTTCATTAACCACAGGCCTTTGTTGAACCCCCTTGAGCTTTTTCAGCAGATGAGACTTTTTCATAAAACTCCACTCATAAATCCAAAATGGCATTCATCCAGTGCATTTAAAAAGGAAAATGAACAGCACAGTTACACACACCATAATCTAAGAATTGGTTGTAGAGAAATGGTATCTAAAATACAACAAAATTTGTCATAACTGTTAATTCAATATTTAGCAAAAATAAATCAAATATATAATATATATAATATATTATATATAAAAATAAATATAAATGTGAAAGAAGAAAAGAAAAGAAACAGCACTACTATGCTTAAATAATCTAAAACACATTTCTTTTTTATACATCAAAAAATGTAAACTAAATGGGAATTGTGTTGCAAAATAATCCTAACCTTTTATTAACCTAACCTAACCTAACTATTATCTAAAAAAACAAGTAAATTATCAGCACTGGGACTACCCAATTCACCTGTACCGCATGTCTTTGGACTGTAGGGAAAACCAGAGCACCCGAAGGAAACCCACGCGAACGCATGAAGAACATGCAAACTCCACACAGAAACGCCAACTGAGCCGAGGATCGAATCAGCGACATTCCTGCTGTGAGACGTCAGCACTACCTACTGCGCCACTGCATCACCTAATCTTAGAGTTGTGTGTGATGATTATTGTTTATATTAAACGAACAAAAATGAATGCAAAATATTGTAAAATGTAAAATGTATTGTAAAATAATCATAACCTCAAACATTATCTAAAATAACTAGTAAATTATCATCACTGGGGCGTCACAGTGGCACAGTGTGTTTATTTAGCTTATTCCTTTATTAGTACTTTTTTAATGAAAAACGACACTTTATTTTATTATTACATTGTTAAGGGGGAAAAACAATCATTGTAAAACAATTAAATAAAAAAAATTCCTTAAAATAATGTACAATGGTTTGAAGGAAAATGACTGGCAGTTTTTTACCATTCTTCTGGAGAAAATTCAACATGTTTGCTTTTTCCATCAGAAGTCAGAATTTTTCTTGGTTTATTGTGCTCCCTGCCTGAAAATACCCTCTTTGAGTTGCAAAATGCCGTTAAATAATCAGATAATGTTTAAGATTTTTCATTAACACATTCACATAAATGAGTTAACAGTGTTTTGGGAGTTACAAAGCAAAAAAAAAAAGCTGTTTTCTATCATTTCTTAGTCAGCATAGTTTATTATTAGGCTATTCATAAGCTATATTAGTAAATACAATAATGTAAGTAATGTGTTTAGGATTTATTTAGGCTTCTACAGAAAAAAACATACTTTTTTCAATGTAACCAAATGTTTGTGTTTATTAAACTATTATTATACTAATTTAGAGAGCCCTTATATCAGGCATGTCCAAACTCGGTCCTGGAGGGCCGGTGTCCTGCAAAGTTTAGTTCCAACCCCAATCAGACACACTTGGGCTAGCTAAACAAGCTCTTAATAGGCTTTTTAGAAACATCCTTGCAGGTGTCTTGAGGCAAGTTGGAGCTAAAATCTGCAGGACAACGGCCCTCCAGGACTGAGTTTGGACTCCCCTGCCTTATGTAATTGACTGCTAGCATAACGATGTGGAGGATGTACCTTTAGCTAAGCAGTCGAAAACTTTTTATTTGTCTTTCTGCAGTTAATGCACTTTTTAAAAATATGCTTAGTCAAACTTCTTGCGTTTGTTGCAACGAGCATTGTCGTTGTCCACTCAGGAAATGCAACCCATTTGGCTCTTTCCGCCACTCTGGAAGCTTACGAGCTATGTGTGTGCGTGTGCATAGCCGAGAACCTTGAAGCTTTTTACTCGACGCGCTCGCCAGAAACACAAGTATTTTACATGTGAGATTGCCAACTGTGCAGACGAATATCAAATAACGCAAATTAGAAAAGGTTGGTCAGTTAAATTATGCAACTGTATGCAATGTTTATTCAGCAATAATGAACCAGTACCGATACCAGAACTGTTAACGTCAGACCATATTGATATCGTTTGTTTATAATATAGCACCGATACAGATAAAGTACAGAGTTCCGGTACCCATCCCTAGTCGCTGGTTCCAGTCCTGGCTGGGTCAGTTGACATTTCTGTGTGGAGTTTGCATCCGGGTGCATCGGTTTCCCCCACAGTCCAAAGACATGCGCTGTAGATTAATTAAATACGCTGAATTGTCCATAGTGTATACAGTTAAAGTCAGAATTATTACTACTTTTAATTTTTTTTTTTATATATTTCCCAAATTATGTATATCAGAGCAAGAAAAACTTCACAGTATGTCTGATAATATTTTTTCTTCTGGAGAAATTCTTACTTTTTTATTTTGGCTAGAATAAAAGCAGTTCAACAATTTTTTTTAAAACCCATTTTAAGGTCAAAACTATTAGCCCCTTTAAGCTAGATTTTCTTTCGATAGTCTACAGAGCAATCCATCATTATACAATAACTTGCCTAATTACTCTAACCTGCCTAGGTAACCTAACATCTAGTTAAGCCCTTAAATGTCACTTTAGGCTGTGTCTTGAAAAATCTAGTAAAATATTGTTTACTCTCATCATGGCAAAAAAAAAATAAATCAGTTATTAGAAATGAGTTATTAAAACTATTCTTTGTGTTGAAAAAAAGTCTTCTCTCCGTTAAACAGAAATTGGAGAAATGATTCTGACTTCAACTGTATGTGTGAATGAGAGTGTATGGGTGTTTCCCAGTGTTGGAAGGGCATTCGCTGTGTAAAACATATGCTGAATAAATGGTGGTTCATTGGTGGCAACCCCTGATTAATAAAAAGATAAAGCGGAAAAGAAATTGAATGAGTTACCAGCACTGTTAATACAACATTTAGCAAATTCCAAATATATAAGTGTAAAAAAAAAGAAAATTAATAACTCTGTTAAATACAATTAAAACAAAGTGTGTGCTTGTTAATAGAATTCCAAACATTTCTTTTTTCTTTTTTTTACAACATAAAATAAATGTAAAATGTTTTGTAAAACACACTAGTACTTGATCATCACTATTAATTCAATATTTATCAAATATCAAAATGAATATATATGTAAAAAAACAAACAAGCGAAACCATCACCACTATTAAACACAAATAATGAGAGTTACTTATTTTGTGTGCTTTCAGTGGTGCTTCTGTACGAAATGTGCGCGCAGAGGAGGAGGAGGAACAAGAAAGTGCTTCTTCAGAGCTGCAGACGCTAGAAAACTCCATCACAATGGGCAAAATGAAGCTGCTCAAGGCCAAGATGGAGAACATGAACCTTAACAAAAAGGTAACAGCGCAGGCGGTTGAGAAATACTCTTAATCTGTCTTTGCTCCTCCTCCACTGTTTCCAGCACAGTCATCTTATCCTGAAGCGCATGAACCTTCTTACTGTCAAACGCATCTGATTAGATCTGTCAGCCGAGCAGTATGGAAGTGCTCAATTCTCCAGCTGGCCTGAGGGAGTGCAGTCCAGCCCACGCCGAGTCTGATTATCTGGCGCTGTAATAACTAACAGCTCAGCGCATTGGCATATGAAGTTAATTATTCGCACTCAACTATGCATTGTTGACAGAAGATGTGTCTTAGTTACAGATGCTGTCTAGCTTGTCTACTTTAGCTTGCGTGTTTATGTGGGCATTAGTACTGTCAACATCTAGAATTGTGTTGAGAAAAAAACATTCAGAGGTGTTAAACGAAGAGGGGTTTGATTGGTTGTGGTTATGTCGTATTTTTATTGTTTTACTTTTTAATTAATATAGAAAAGTGATATTTAGAAAATGTTTGCCATGAAATAGCCAGAGAGGCTGATATGGCAACACATTCAAAACTCTTTCTCTCTTATGAGTAATGTCACAATGCAGTATTATAAGACTCAACACATACCTTATATACTTATACACAGGGCTTTATATTAACACCCGCCAAATGCGGGTAGATTTTGGCGGTGGCGGGTAAGACAGACACTCCCACTGGCCCCTTTGGCTGGTTGAAAATAATTTTCCCAGATAATAATTCTTCAAAGCAGGGTTCGAACATAAGGATGGTCCAATATGCATGACAGGTGATTAAGAAGCAACATGACTGACAAAAAAAAAAATTGCGCTCGCAACTTCACGCAAGCAAAGCAGGTGATTACCGAATGAGAGGATAATCACTTGCGCTAACAGCTGAGGTGATGCGCGTGACTGTTTATAACGCGTGCGCGCTCCCGTTTCCTTTTGTGAAGCTACTGTGTCTAGAAACACAACTTATGCGATTGATTCTCTTTCAAATAGACTGAACAAAAAGGGAGGAACGTGCACCTACAGTCTAGCTGCTTTCAAGAGTTCCAGAGTTGACTTATTGTAAGCAGCGCCAGTTGCTTGCAGTTTGAAAATATAATTTATGGGTCTATCATTAAGCATGTGTGTGTGATCATCTTTTCATTATCACACAGTGTGTTTTTTTACCTGCTTTCTTTTGCATTAATATGGTTTAATTATCATTTTTTAGAATAACATTGCTTTAATGGGAGAATAACTCCCCATTTATGTGTAGTTAACCGGTGATCTGGGACCTTTAGCCAGGACATATGACTGTGCATATGCTTTGTTAAATAAAAAGTATAGTATGCAGCTATATTTTGCTTGTTTTGACACGTTTAAAATTTGTGGCTAAGAAATAATTAACTGTTTATGTATGGTGTGGTCAGAGATAAATTGGGTAAATCCTTGGGCTTTGAAAATTATGAAAACTAATTGTAATATATGAAACCCTGACCCATTTGCTCATGGTTATTGAGCAAGCTCATACACGACACTCAAAAAGTGAAAGAGGAGGCATGTAGAGATAACGCAAACTCTAAACCAAATAATTTTAGCATGTCCAAGTCATATTTATGTGTATAAAATATATTTTCCCAACAATAAAATTGTGGCTAGTGAAACTGGCGAGTGGCTAGTAATGTTGGAAAACTACTAGCCACAGTGGCTGGTGGTCAAAAAAGTTAATGTTAAGCCCTGCTTATACATACCTATATGGGATAGTTTGGCCAAAACTGTAAATTCAGTTACCATTTACTCACTCTTTACTTCTTCTGAACCTGTTGAAGACAAAAGAAGATATTTTGAAGAATTTTGGAAACTTGTAACTGCTTACTTCCATAGTATTCATTTTTCCTTGTGTGGAAGTCAGTGGTAAAGTTTTTCAGCTTTCTTTGAAATATCTTCTTTAGTGTTTAACAGAATATAGAAACTCATAAAGGTTTGGAGCCACTTGAGGATGAGTAAATAGTGAGTATGTTTTCATTTTGGGGTGAACTATCCCTTTAAAATGTCATTCAATAATAATTCAGAGAAATGATTTAAAAATGTGGCAATATGACTTGCAACAGAACATTAGCACACAAGGCTTCTGCAAGAAATCATTCTCACCTTTAATTTGCCCTTTTTTCTCAATGCAAATCAGTGAACAGACAGATGAACTCCTGTCTCATGCAAGATCACACTTAATAATTCCTTTCTCACTTTTGACGTTTGCTTGTTTTGCCAAACATAATTTATACACCAGGCAGAGATGTCTGGGATTGCTCCTAATGCAATGATGTGAACACATCAAAAACTACTGTACATACTTCCAGCGTCAGTCATGTACTGTATGTGTGTTAGAAAACAGTGATACCCTTATTATATTTATTGGCTGAAGTTTTAATATTAGTGCATATCCCAAATTTTTCCCTTAAAATATTACATTTATTTTAAGGGTGCACATACACTATGCTGACAGATTTGTGCCCGGGCACGTTTTTAGGTTTGTTTGACAAGTGTGACTGCTCTGAATCAGGCCCAGGTGCGGTTCAGTTGGCTGGCCCTGGCCCGGTTGAAAGAGGTGTGCCAGGGCAAACCTCCTAATACCTGCAGCTTGATCACTTGTATGATAATTTGTGAGCGTCAAAAGTTGTGAATCTGTTTGCAAAATGTTTGACTGTGTGTCACTGCATCCCAAATGACTAGAACGAAATAACTAAAGCAATCTCCAGCACTGAGTTGAGCGATTGCTTCTCTTCCTTTTAAACTGAACAGTCGCATCATCAATAACGTACATGTACTGTATGCTCAGGTTCGGAAGGAAAAATGCAGTGTGAATGCAGGCCGTTGGGGGAGAGGGAAGGGGGGAAAATCATGCTTTGGCATGGTTCAAGGCAACTGTACCTAGTGTGAGTATGCCCTTAGTTATTTAGCAGATGCTTTTGTCCAAAGTGACTTATAGTTGGGGAAGCATTTATCAACTCACACAAGAAGTGCTAATTATACCAAGGAACTGTTTGTGCTCAGAGAATTAAGTGCTAGAGTTAAGAAGAGGGAGTGTTTTTTTTTTTTTTTTTTTTTGAAAAAGTGTTTCTACAGGTGGTTTATTAAGCCCACTCACCTTTGTGAAGTGCACTTCATAAATGCACAATGTTTTGTTTTTCAAAATAAGGAGTTATTGCAAGAGTGTGTCTAGTGTAAATGTGCAAAAGTGGTGTAAGTGTCAGTTTAAGTGTCAGAGAGAGGAAAGAGTTTGTTTTTACTACAGGTGGTTTGTCCAGCCCACTCACCTGTGTGTGGCGCACTCAGTTATTTTGGTTGTGAGATGGTGAAGAGAAAAGGAGGTCCTGGTTTTGTTCACAGGGGTCACACACTTTATATGATTATATTTTTAGTTTTGTCATAAGCTTTATTTCTGGGACATATTACAAAAAGGTCCTAACTTTAAAATCTTAAGATCCTATCTGTTTGGTAACCATGGTCATTTTAGTTAGGACCATAGTTAGGACAAAGAGCATTTCATAAGAGCGTTATCTTAACTACAGATAGAAATGTTGCATAACAGAAACATCCTAGCTTTACAAAAAAAATCCTAAAACTCTCTTAACTTCAGGGCAACCTGACAGCTGTCCTAATTTAGCTAACAGAAAACAAGAACTGCTTAGAATTGCTCTGTCCAGCAATGACACTACATTTATCGATGACTCAAAAAGATATAAAGATGTTTAATGGAAGAAAGACGCTTGGAGGACCTTGAAGATGTTACATTTAGATGAAAAACACAGACTGCAGTGTGGCATGATATTACTGTTAGCACAGAAACTGCAACCAACATGGAGGATTACTGCTTATAGTGTATGTGACTAATGTCTTTTTGATTTTCAAAGTATTGTAGCTTCTATTGCAAAAATGTTAGCCTGCTTTGTCTAAAAGCTCACCGGTTTTGTTCAGTTTAACTCATTAGCAGCTCACAGTGTCGGTTGCATGGTAACAGAATTAAGACTGGATTGTCGAACTTGATGCTATTTAAGATATCCTAACTATACACAAGGTACAATTAGGCAAAATAGAACAAAAGTCCTTAATCAGTTTTAAGATTAGCTTCTGTAATATGCATCTAATTCAGCATATCATATCTTATGTTAAAGATCCCAAGAAAATAAAATATATTTTTTAGATGTTAGTTTTAGTCTGTTCATTTTATGGATGTCTATTAGCTCCAAAACAGTCTGAAATAAAACACTGATATAAACATATAAAGCTTGCCGTTTGTCGCTTCCGCCTAAATGAATCAATTATCTTTTGTTTCCATGCCACCTCATACTTAAGTTTCTCATCAAGTCTTCAAGACCAATCAAATGCTCTCTAGTATCTGACAAGCCCCACCTCTTTCAAGGTACTGCTTATTTGATGCACTTGATCTCAACCACTCTCACTGACAGAGCTGTTATAAAAACAAAACTCTATTGGCTGTTTTTTTAAAAGGGGAGGAGCTACTCTGTCCCACCCTCGGGATTTTTAAGTTGAGATCATGCCAGACATCAAATAAAAAATTTAAAGCATTTCATGGGACCTATAGGCCAGATACTTTCAGTAATGTGCCCCTGATCACAAAGGAATGCTCATTATATTTTCTCTGTTTACTTTCCTTAATAGACAAACTTGTTTTTTTTTCAGCCCAAAAAGACTGCTAAATTAAAAATCCGACCTCCAGTGGGTCCGCGACCTTGCAGCGGTTCCCACGGCTCTGCCCGACACCATCGAATGTTCCGTGTCCTTCCTCAAATAGGACACGCCTCTTCAACACATCTACCTCCTATCGGTGATCAGCAGCAACCTGTATTGTCCACCCCCACTGCTGGCTCCGCCCACCAACCCTACACATCTCTCTCCAGTCCTGCTTCCTCAAGCCGTGCTCATCCATCCTCTGCAGCCTCTGGCATATACATGCTGCAGGCTGAGGAACCATGGGATAATCCAGTGCCCAGGAAGATTAGACTCCCTCCCAAAGTATCCCGGCTGGATATGAGAGGGCCTAAAGTCATGCGAGACTGCGTCTACCCGCCTCTATCTCTTCTGTCCAGCCCTGGAGTTCAGGATGAAGTCGATATCAAGAACGAACACCTAACACTAACTGAGAAAACCACAGTTATTGAGTCGCCCAAAGCTGTGCCCTTCAATCTTCCTGAACCCCTGAGTTTGGATGTATCTGCTCAGCGAGAGCGAAGTCTGAACTCTTTAACGATGCCTGAGGCCAACGCCGCAGCTCCTCTTCTTTCCCAAGCCGTCAACTCTAATTGGAGACTACCATCCCAACATGACCTTACCCTCACCACTGAGCCCTTCACACCTCCACGTCATTTTGAGTTCACCGGTTCCTCAGTTCATCCCAGTCCGTCTCATGCTCTCCTCAGAACTAGCCCATCTCTCCCCATCAGTTCTCCTTCAAAAACTACATTCAAAGTTGATAAGCACTCAGAGGTGATTTCCAAAAGCGAAGCCCGAGACATTACAAACCTGGCCAATAAAGCCACTAAAGAGCCATTGGGATCGGTGAGCAACGCAGAACTTCTGGCCTCCTTGGCGGGCAGCGGTGGTCAGGAGACCTTGACCAGTCCTTACGCTTTGGGAAGGTTGTGTGCCACCGCCGCGCCCCTTCCAAACAACATCCATCTGTTGCAGGAGGACCTGCTGAGGAGGATCTCCCCCCTACAGCGCACAGCTGGCTTCACGGTGAGTTGGTAACCTTGACTTCTGCTTCTGCTTTTACTGATCTCACCTCTTATTTGGCTTCTCAAATCTGATGTTTATTTGATCTCAGCAGGAGAAGGGGTATTTGCTATAACTCATGACATGCAAAAACATGTTGTGCAAATTAGGGCTACTAGAGGTTAAAAAGATGCTCGATGCACATTATACCCTGTATTTAAGACAAATTAAAAGCAAGTGGTGCTCGCTGCAGAGCCATTTGAGGAGAGCTGAGCTCCAGCGAGGGGGAGCTTAAGCTTGAGCTCCACCTTTTTTGCATTTCTTCTATGAGTGATGTCACTGGGGGTAGGGTTAGGGGTGGGGTTGGTGTACGCATTAAAACAGCTTACAGAAGGAGGAGCGACAGCTCATGCTCCCCCTCGCTGGAGCTCAGCTCTCCTCAAATGGCTCTGCAGCGAGCACCCTCTCATTAAAAGTGCAATTGATTTGTTTGAGCTGATGGGAAATTGCTGTTTACCTTAGAAATGCTTCAAAAAAAAAAAAGTAGTTTTAAGATTAGTATTGGAAATTGTGAAATTATACCCACCTTTTTTTAGCCACTAAACATAGTGAAATACTATGCCAAAATAAATGTGTAATTTGGCTATATATTCCACTTGTAATTATGTATAATTAATTATGTATAAATAATCATTTGTTGCAAAATATTTCATCTAAAATTATTTTTTTGTAATGTTCTTTTAAACTGTTTTATTAAATGAGTTGAATATAAATGTTTTTTGCACCCATTTTACAGTTAATGTTAATTTGATCAATTTAAATCGTATAGTTTTAGTCTTAATCGTATAGTTAATCGTCAAGCGCGAGTGATTTACAGTATATGTTAAGTCAATGCAAAGACCTCTTGTGGTGCATCCCTGAAAGGATCTAGTGGACTCAGACACGGCTCCAAATGAATTGACGCTGTTTTTCAGCCTTCATAATGCACATAAATACAACTATTCTCTCAAGAAAATCCATTTCAGCCATTTAGCAATGAAGCTAGAGTCACCGGGCAGACAGAAACCCTGCCCATCAACCGAATCCATGTCTGTTCTGAAGTGAATTTGACGTGCGAATGAAGCGGATTTGACGCGCAAATGAAGCGAGTAAACTTAAAATGTTCACGGCTTTACGCATCTACTTAATAGAAGATTTTAGAATAAATTGAAAACCTAGGAACCAGGAACTAACACCATAGAAGAAAATATTCGATTTATCCGCGCTTGCCGCATCTGGGGTGAAAACAGCATTGAGTTTTTATCATAACTTAACCCTTCTGCACTAAATTAAACTGCTGTAAAAGTGCATCAGATCAATATTTTTTCCATTTATTTTGCATAAATCTCTTAATCAACCTCAGTTCTGATCAAAACTACTAAATGTTTTTTTTTAAATTACCGGATTTCTACTCTTTAATTGCCAAATTCATAAATGATGTCACTGATTTGATTAAAAAAACACACACAAAATGATGTATTTTCAATAAAAAATATAGTTTTGGGCTGATTTCTTTGAAACCCTTTATCACAGTTTTGGACATGTAAGCGATTAGTAACAACATTGGCTTTAATGTATTGTTAGATTTGAATTTTTTCTCCCTAATTTACTGTTGATGGCTGTTTTTGCCTCATTGATGAATACACAGTCTTTGTTTATATTCCTTGTTTGTTTTAGTCTTTGTTTTTAGTCCCCATGTAGTTCTGAGACCTGAGTTTCATATTTAGATTTTTCTCAGACACTTCAAGGTAAGTGTGCAAAGGTCACTCTCATACACATGCTCACACTTTAATTTGCTGTTATACTCCATGAAAAAAAAAAAAATCCAGAAACTAGGCTTTTTTTGCACAGGCCTATCTAAAGGGTTAATGCTGCTAACTGATGATCAACAGTAAAAAATGACAAATTTTACCTGTTCCCAACAGGGGAAACCACCAACAATCAAAAAAAGCATGATTATATGGTGTCATGGTATTGCAATCAAAAAATGTGGTTATAATGGAAGTCAATGGACAAAAACCAACAATAAATCAATTTATTGTCACCAACAATAAATTAGGGAGAAAAAAAAAAATTTAATCAAAAACATTGCATCAATGTTGTTTTACATGTCCAAGACTTTAATAAAAGGTAACAAAAATCCAGTCCACAATTACTTTTTATGTTAAAAATACGTCATTTTGTGTGTTTTTGTCACCAAATCAGTGACATTATTCATGAATTTGGGAATTAAAGAGTTAAAATCCTGTAATTTTGTAAGCAATTTAGTAGTTTTAATCAGGACTGAAGTTAACAAACAGCAAAATAATTTGAAAAAAAAAAAAATCTAATGCATTTTTACAGCAGTTTAATTCAGTGGGTGTTTTCATCCCAAACATAACAAAAAGGTAGTAAATTTGTGTTGAGCATTTGTGTATTTTCTGAAAAATATGAGTTAAAATAAGATTTGTCACCAAAAATCAATCTGCTAGCTAAATCAAAGAGAAAGCAATGGCCAAATAAGACACAAAATCGCAACTCCAAGTGGATGACAACACCCCTGAAAGGACATATGGCTTTACTAAAATCTGTTTTCATTAAAAAAAGTTAAGGTTTTGGTCATACCGCTCACTTAAAATCATGTTAGATAAGATAATCCTGCAGTAACACATTTGAATAAGGTATTTACGTTAAAGAATATTTTGGATATAGTTATTATTAATATAATTGTTTTAATTAATTAAAATTGACTTGATTTATTTTAGTAGTTAGTTGATGTTAAATTTGCAACACTCATATTACACGTACTAAATATAATAAATAGATTTATTTGATTGGTAAAATTAATATTAACGTCATAATTAATTTATTTGAACTCAGTATGACTTGTGAATGTCATCTTGCAAATTAGTGCTACAAGTAGAGCGGGTATCCTGTCAAGAATAGACGCTTGCTGCACATTATACAGCATGCAAAACAGATCACAAGGAGCGATTCATTAGCCATGGCATTTCAGCTAATGAGAATAGTTCTGTGGCAATCTTGTGAACACTTTATCACACAAAATCATGTCATTGCAGGCATCAAGCTCATCAAGTGGCCTCTCCAGTTCAATAAAGAGATTAGGTGAGTGGTTTGACATAAATGCCTCTGTTCATGTGAAATAAAGCTTTCAAAATGCAGTCCTGCTGCAGAAACTTTTTTGTTTTTGAGAATATTATCATTCATGGCGAGTCTTGGCCTTTTTTCACACCTTTTCACATTTTTACGCCTGCACTCCCCAGGCCTGTGAAACCCATCTGTAAATCCACAGGCCACTGGTTTAATGTCATGCTGCACATGTCACTTGTGAAACTTTTGAGTGCCTGCAGCCTTACAGTATTACTAATGGCCAACTGGTTTTCTTCAATAGAACATTAAAAAGAATTTTAGCTAAAATCATGGTCCTTTTTTTGGATTTGTAACGTGTAAGTCAGTAGTTAACGGAACTTTAAAGAGTTAAAAATAAAAATGAAACATGTGCAGTGTCATTTTATGTGTGAGTTTGTCATTATGTGACAGGAAGCTCACAGTTCAGACTGTCATAATGTTACTTCTATATTGATGCAAATTAATGAAAAGGATAGTGAAAGCTGTCTAAAAAAACAAACATTCACAATTTTATATTAAACCGAACATGTACTAGTTTTTACATTTTAAATATTTTGGGTCACACTTTACAGTAAGGTTTTATTAGTCAATTTTTGTTCATGTATTTACTAACATGAACTAAGTAAGAACAATGCATTAATTGATTATGGTTAAACATTTACGAATGCCTTACTAACATCCAAATCCATGCTTGTTGGCATTCGTTAATGCACCATAAATTAACATGAACTAACAATGAACAACTGTATTTTCATTAACTGACGGGTACTAACATGAACAAATACTGTAATAAATGTATTGTTCATTGCTTGTTTATGTCAGAAAGCGCATTAACATTAACTAATACGGGTGTCACAATCCTCCAAATCCTCGATTCGATTACATTTTCGATTCTAAAGTCACGGTTCGATTCGCGATTTAAAAAAGAAAAATTTGGAAGCACAAGCTGTGCCATTTTAAGACTTTTATGTGATATAATATATCTGACAGTCATGACGCTCTGTGTTGCTCTGGAGGTTCAGCAATCTGTAGTCAAGGCTACTAAATGTGCACTGCTAAGACCTTCAATAACTTTCTCCTTCACATTATTGTGCATGGAGGATATCACTGTAGCTGTTAGATGCGTTCTACTTGGGATTTCCTAGTGTGGTTTTAGCATGCTAATTAAATGCCTTAAACCAGACAGAGTTTTCTACCACTGAATAAGGTTGCATGTCTGTGGCTATAAATACTCCTACCGTGCTTGTAATTGCCTTTCCATGTGTTGAGTTAATTGGAAGTTTTATTCTAAATGATGACAGGAGAGTAGTTTGTGTTACACTTTTCGGTTTAACAGATACGTCTATGTTTTTGTGGTGCCTGCGGAGATGCCCTGCCATGTTAGTCGTGCTTGCAAACTGCGTTTTTTTTTTTTTTTTTTTGACCACACAAACATTGTCAACATAACTTATACTTATACACTACTTTCACTCCTGCGACTTAGAAAAAGGAGGGGGGGGGGTGTTGTCAAAGAATCTCCTGCGACTGCTATTGCCATGCTGTCTTATGGCTGTTTGTTATAGTTGTTTGGTTGACTTGCAGCACTTCAATAAATGTGTTTTTTTTTTTTTTTGCTTGACAAGCTAAACTGATGTGACATGGGGCGTGGCAGCATCGACGATTCCATTTTTTGATGGGATAATTGAGATTGAGCATGAATTTCGATCAATTTCGAATTAAAATCGAAACACTCTTATTAATACAACCTTATTGTAAACTGTTACCATAATTAGTCAAGAAATGTCAAAATGACGATTTCTCTGATTGGAAAAAAAACGATCATTAATACAATTTCAGATCCATTGTATAAATATTTTTCAGAATACTACACTTGTGGCATTCTAGCTTCTCGTTGAATCCTGGTTCATTGATCTTTCCTGATCTATTCCACTCTTTCCATACAGTACCACAATAAACATAGGAATGTTAAATGCATAAAAAAGCTACTTTCTGTAAATATTAGGATGGGACATGTACCAAATTCAATTTTCTTAGCCAATCCCGATTTCTGATTTGTTTATTATATATTTTTTGTTAAGGGTGACCTGCTGATAGCAATTTTTGCAGATTTATGGTTTTGAAAGTACACGCTTTCACACGCTGCAGAAAGAGTTCCACACAAGTAACAAGTTTTTATGCAGTTGTGAGTATGAGCACAAGACTATCTATCAATATGTGCTAACAACAGATAACGCAACTTCGCAACATCTTTGTTAAAAGGAGTTTTTGACAACAGCATATACTACCATGACAATGATCACCTCAGGTCCAGGTTATGTGCTTTATACAGTATTAAATGCTTCCAATGTGGGTTTAAATACCATTTTATGTGTTATTTATTGCCATACTATTGAAAGCAGCAGCAGATTTTGAAAATTAAATAACTAGCAGACGATTTAAAAATGAACTGTGACATAGTGCAAACCAACACCTTCAGTCACTCAGTAGCCTTTTAATAAAGTTAAAGAGCCTTAATATATATTAATTAGGTTAGAAACCTTTACCATTTAATTTTAAGTGCAGTGGCTGGTGTTTAAATGTTTCTGTCATGCCTCGTTTGGTGCAGACGGACAAATTGCCTATCACTGGAATCAACGATGTTGTGTGTTGTTAGGACACAGTGTATGACATCGTTGCCCATGCCAAGACTAAGAACAGATGGGCTGAAATTGACCAGAACTCTGGCCACTCACCGGGTAAAGTCTAGATCGGATTCACGGCTGGCCAGAAGTGCAATATGCACATCAATATAGCAGCATTGTTTCATGACACTGTATAACAATGATTAATATTTTTACAGTTCTGTGACGGTTGGGTTTAGGGTTTGCGTGGGGGTAGGTGTTAAAAAATGCAATTTATTGGGAAATTTAATAGATAACCTAAATAATACTTGGGACAACCGCTGTTTTTACATTATTGTGATGGTTGGGGTGGGGGTAACGTTAATAAAATACAATAAATGAGAAATTTAATAAATAATATAAAAAATTCTTGTTAACTTCCAGTCGCAGCCGTATCTGATCTTGCAACAATCCAGTCACTAGGCAGGCAGGTCATGAGAAAAATTGTCTGATTCTGGTCCAATAATCCACCAATAGTCCACAAATAATTCACTGATAATTTACCAATAATTTACTGATAATCCACCAATAGTCCACTGATAATCCACAGTTAATTTAACAATAATTTACTGATAATCCAACAACAGTCTACTAAAAATCCATTGATAATCCATCAATATGTTGATTTAGGGGTGTTCGGTTTCAGGTTGTTTGGAGTCGATTTTTGGAGTTCTGATTCTCGACTCCTAATTTTAGAGTCGGCGGACTCGACAAAGAAAAAAAAAAAAAAACACTTCAGTTGAGCCCAAACAACATTTTACCTTAATTAATAAGTACATTAAACAAACCTAAAAAAAAAATGCTAGCAAAGAGGGCAAGCATAAGGTAGACTCGATGGCTATCCATGGTAAAGCATCAGCCCCAACATCTTCGTAAAGCCAGTGAAGTATAAAACGGATATTTGAAGCCAAATAATAACATTGAAAACTAGCTAAAGACATTCCACCCATAGACTTGGGATGCTGTAAAAGACTTTTAGGCATTCTAGCAGGTTTACCATTCCATATAAATGAAGTGAAAGCACTGTCCAGCCTACGAAAAAAGGAATTAGGAATAAACACTGGGATACATTGAAATGAATAGATGACTTAGGTAATCACGTTCATTTTGATAGAATTTGTTCGACCTGCGACTGATAATGGAGGAGAGGCCCATTTTAGAGTTTTCTAGGTGCCAACAAATGTGTTATATTGGGATGATTACAAGAAAACTCAAGAAAAGACATAGTTCACCAAAATAACACGAAATATAACATTAACACTTTAGTTTATGTGACAATTTACACCATTTACTACTGGCATATAATCTGTCTATTATTAAGAAATTAATTATTTATTAGCACTTATAAAGTACAATTTTTGTCTACATCCCTAATCCTACTCAGTATCTACTGTAAATATTGCTTTACTAACTATTAATAAGCAGCAAATTAGTCGCTAATTGAGCTCAAAGTCTTACTTAATGGTTTGTTGATAACATAAAATAAATTGTGACCAAGATATTTTGAATTGTGTTGGATATTGGAAGCCATTGACATGCACTGTAGGAAAAAAGCTGAAGAAAGTCAGTGGCTAAAATGAGTTTTTTTCCTAACCATCTGCAACGTCACGGCAGAACAACAGCATGTACTTCTATGACAATCTTCACCTCAGGTACAGATTATGTGCTTTATACAGTGTTAAGTGCTACCAATATGAGTTTAAATTCCATTTTATGTGACATTTATTGTCAGTGGCTAGCAGTTTCTAACATCCTTCAAAAGATCTTCAACAAAAAAAGATTCTCGGAGAGGTTTGGAACAAGTGGAGAGAATGTTTGGGTGAACTATCCCTTTAAACTGTGTCTCTTCTTTATCAAATGCAGCGATGAAACTCTGGTCTTCAGTAGGTCAGGACTGCAGGGTTGAGCTTACCAGAGGTGTTACATGTGAAATGGACTGTCGGGCTCTTAAATATTCAGTGTCATGCAGAAACTGCTGCCTGAAACCAAGAATGAAACAAAGAAAAGAACCAAGGGCTGTCACACAAATAAATATTCAGACTGTCACATGTTTACAAAAGCAGTCGTGTGAAACGAAACAAAAAGCAGCTCAGGTGCTTGATGCTAAGAGAAACCGTGTGCTCAATTTGTGCTCTTCAGAGTCTGGAGGATGCTTGTGCAACAGGTGGTCCTCCTCATACATTTGGGATACGTTCCCTGACATTTCAGCACGTCTGAACGTTCTGTCACATCTCAGATCGTTATTGGCTTGAAAATGCGGCAGTGATGGCAAATAATAGAATAGACAGACCAGCAAGTACATGACTGGAAATCTAATATCATGCCCTGTTGCTTGCTGCTTTTTTTTTTCTCACTATCAGTGGTTTTCCATTGCTCTTCATTATTGTGACTTGTGCAGAAATAAACAGCTTTTTTTTAAATAGTACATAGGTATTTTCCCTCATATTTTATAGCTGTTGTGATCATCTCTCTTGTTCTGTTCCTGTAATTTGTTTGTGTTTTGTGTGAACATTGGTTTAGGGACTCAGACGCATCACTTGCCCCCTGTGAAGGTTTCCTCTGGAGTGAAGAAGAAGAGCTCAAAGCACTGCTTCCTGTGTGGAAAGAAGACGGGATTAGCTACCAGTTATGAATGCAGGTACACTATGAGCTCTTTATGCAGCACTTAAACCTAAAAACATTATGCCACACCGATCAATTTCTGACCATCAAAGTGTATGTGTTGAATTTGTTAAAAACAAGCAGAACAAATTGGAGAAATGCATATAATTTAATATTTATTTATTCATTTATTTATTTTTTGTAATAATACTACATAGTTAAATTGTAAAAAAAAAAAAGAATACTATTTGAACTAACAATTCATAATAAAAAGCATACTGCTTCAGAGTTATAATTTTTATAGTGATTTATTTATTTATTTATTGACTGCTAATAAAAATTATACATAGTTAAACAGTAAAAATAAAACCAATAAACTGCATAATATTTAAACTTACAATTTATAATAAAAACATGCCCTAAAATAATAATTAAAATAATAATAATAATAATTATTATTATTGTGTTTTATTTATATATGCATTTAGTAATAATAATAATAATAATAATAATAATAATAATATCATTATTAGTAGTTATATTTTGATTATAGTATTAAACCAATGGATAAATAGCATAATACTGAACCGCCATATTTGATAATAAAATATGTTTAGGTATATTATTATTTTTATTATTATTTTTAATAATAATAATAATAATAATAATAATAATAATAATAATACATTTATATATATATATGAAAGGGCATCCGCTGTGTAAAAACATTTGCTGTATAAGTTGGCGCTTCATTCCACTGTGGCGACCCCGCATTAATAAAGGGACTAAGCCGGAAAGAAAATGAATTAATGAATATTACAACTATCACATTTTAAATGTTGAAACATGGAGATTTTATTTTGGTCAAAACACAAAGAAGCTTCTTATGAAACTGAAAAGATGAAAACAATTTGTAACTTTGGAGGAGTGGCGGATTTGTTGCTGAAGTGAGAAACCAGTTATGTGCAAGAGCGCTCTGCAGTGTTGCACATCAGATTACAGATTGACATCATTACAGTGCAGTCTTTGCAATCTGATAATCATTCTAAGCTGTGTTGCATTCTAAGGTTAGAATTAGTAAAGGAAAATGTACGAAGGTGGCGGTTTAATTTTCTTAGTACATTTATTTCTGAGTATGAGTTTTTTTTTGTAACACTTTAAAACAGAGGAACTTAATATACATCAGTAATTTTAAAGGGAAGTGTGCACTTAATTTAGTGCATGTGCACATAACCACACAGAGCTATTTCTGTTCATGTCATGTTATCTATGACTTCCTTCAGTTTCCCCGTGCCTGTAATGATGAAGCTTTGATCCAGGCAAACTAATATATCATGCATGTCTTTTTCAAAAGGGGGGAGCTTCAATACGTTTTAGTCGGAGATTTGTGATCTTTTTTTATTAACTAATGTGACTAATGTTATTAAATACATTTTATATGCAGTTATTACTAGAGAATTTCTGTATTTTTATATTATTGATGGTGCGCTGGGTCCCTCCCTTAGTGGCAAGACCACTCTGTATAATGCCAACAGTCGGTCGGCAAGTAAACAATATAATGAATCAAAATATATTTTTTATATTTATATTATTTGTTTTAGTTGTCTTCATTTTAATCTTTTCTTCATGAAGCAATGGTGTACTTTGTCTGCCTGCCTGATTTGCCCTGAACTGGGCAGGGTTTGCGTGACGTGCTGCGAGCTACTAGCCCGACAGTGGAAATGCGACATGATTTTGGCCTCACTGCTCAACCTCACTGCTCAACCCTGGCCCGATTAACGTGTGTTGTAATTTTTTTTTTTTCCGTTATTCAGTATTTTACCATGTACCACTAGGAGGAAGCCCGCAGTTTGAGAACCCCTGTTATAGTCCATGCCATACTGAAAAAAACAAAATGTTGTTATGTCAGTTTCACAAGGAAATTTTAACCGCAGTCTTCAGAAACAAGATGTTCGGCTTCTGTGTGGGATGTTTAGAAACCTTTCCATCTGGTCATGTTTAGGCACAACGATAACCACTTTTCAAGGTAGAGGAAATGTTAAGGTTTTAAAACTGCCAAAATCTTCTGTATTTTTAAGATTTTTTATTTACATTTTTTTGCTTTTTTAGGACAACAGTATCTCCAGCAGAAAAGATATCCAAAAAATGCCATTTTAAATTGTAAAGAAATCAGTGTTTTTGACATGAAGTCAATGATTCATTTGAATTATTTACCCTGACATGTTTACTGCTCCAAAATATTTTACATTTTTCTCAAAATAAAATATATTGTGTTTTACTTGCCTTCCATACCAACTGGTTTACTTAAACATGGGAGCAGGATCTGGGTATTGAGATTTCTGAGAACCAATGGAAGGACATTTTTAATATAGTTCACTCGTCATGTATTTGTGCCAGACACGCCCTATTACAATGTAAAGTACTTAATAGGACCCATTTAACTAATGCAAACTTTCTAGAATATTTCCAAACAGAAGCCATGCCTGTAACAGATGTAAGCAGTCACCGGCCGATTACCTTCACATGTTCTGGTCATGTTCAAAATTAACAAACTGTTGGTCTAATATTTTTTAAATTCTTTCTTAAGCCCTTAATACAGTCATACTTTCTGACCCTCTGACTCCCATTTTGGTAATCTTTCACTACACTAACATTAACACTCTGCATCATTGCCTTTACCACCTTACTCGCCAGGTGCGCAATTCCTTAATGGACACATGTGTCCCCTCTATCATCAGAACATTAGATTAAAGAGGTTCTACATTGCATCTATCTTGAGAAACTGAGACATTGTTTTAAAGGATCTCTGTACACCTTTACCCAATCATGGAGTCCAATACTGTCTGTCATAGAGAACATTAACATTTAAGGACCTCCTGACTAGAATTTCCAAAGGGATAAAGAGAGACTTTTAGTATTTACATTATCTTCTTGTATGTTTACCAATATATTCATTATATCTTTATTTATTTATGTATTTATTTATGTATTTATTTATTTAATTAATCACCATATTTATTTATCTGTGTTGTTACGTGTTTAAGTTATTAAGATATTAAATGGATAAAACATAACAATCAGTGAGTCTGTATTAATGCTGGATGAAAAATGAGAACACAACTGCTGGTTAAGTGAAACAAAAGTATTTATTACACAGAGAATGTCAAACAATGAATATAGGAAATTAGATGTAATGTGCATGTAATTATAAATAACTGAATTAAACAGAAAAACAGGATTGTTGCCAAAACAAGGAAATAATTATAACAAAACGATCTAACTAAACCCCAACCCACTAAACTGACAAAGAAAATTGCGGAAACAAAACCATAATCTTCTGCACATCGCTTAACTAAACTTCATAACCATTTTAAAACATAATTACACATGTGGCAACGCATCCATAAACTAACAAGTAAAAATACGATGCTGCTCAAATTACTAGAGTTCCCTCAAAGTACACACTAGCCATTAGCAAAACAAGATCTTGTATAATCCAATTATCATAAAGATTGTTCAACTTCTCAATAGATATTAAATTGAGCTGCACAAGCTTATCTAATAAATCGACCACTTAAATCGAGAGAAAACTAGAACACAGCAACAGCCACCAAACTAAGCAAAACACAAATGAACAAGCCGGCCAACAGAAGTGAGGAGTCTGGCCGTGAGCCAAGCGCTCCTGAAGACAAGTGCAAGCGCATGGCTTTTATACTGTGAGGACCACTTCCTGATTGGTGCGGCGATTGAGTCACAATGGTGATTGACAGCCCCTTCGACCAATGGTTGCACACCTAAAACAGGACAGGATACACAGTGGAAGAGAAAGAATAGTACGCAAAACAGAAAACAAACAACAAAACACCACAAAACATACGTGTAACGTAACTGTGTCTTGATTCATCTTTGCATACTTTTTGAAGGCCTCAGAAAATAGGGAGGGGTGGGAGATGGGAGGAATGGAGCATAGAGGGGAGTAGAAAAGTGTAAGTTTGATTTAAGAGTTTTTCTTGTTTTTGTTGCTATATATTTGATGTCATCTTTTTGCTGATAGCCTTCTATTCAAATACATTTATAAGTTTGTATATTATCTGGAAAAAATGCAATAAAAATATTGAAAATAAAAATATATTGTGTTTAAATGGGGAAAAGCCCAGACATTAAAAAGAACTTATTTTATAGCAGTGATCACTGTGAAACCGGGATATTTTTATACAAAGATATCATACCATCAGATTCTTTTACCGGCCAATGCCTAGTCCTGCTATGCACTTTTTCCCAAACAGTTTTCTAACAGCTTCAGTTTCATGCAAAAAAATCAATGCACATCCTGATGCTCTCCAAACACCATCCATTTATTCAGCCCTAAGGAAGCAATATCAGAAGTGCACACATCTCCACAGCTCTGAGGAAACATTGTTTTGACTGCTGTCTGATTATTGCAGCTCTCATAAAGATGTGTGTTTATTTTTGATGTCAGGTGTGGCAACATCTTCTGTTCCATTCACCGCTACTCGGAGACCCACGACTGCACCTACGACTACAAAAGCGCAGGCCGACGCTTCCTACAGGAAACCAACCCCATCGTAAGCGCACCGAAGCTGCCCAAAATATGAAGGAAAAGCGTGGCAAGAAGGAAACAAAAGACAACTATTAAATAAGAGAAAAACCTTGATCACCAACGTGTGCTTTTATCACCATGTTTGCTTCTAAAAAATAGTTTCAAATAGCTGAAAACTGCTCACTCATAAGTAGTTGCCTTGGAAAACACACTTATGTTGTCTGTTGTCTTCAAATTATTTCACTCAGAAATTAAAAATACAAAACCCTGCATGTAAATAGTTTCTAAAAAACACATTTCTATCATGGGAACAAACTTTTAAATCAAGTACTTTTAAATTAGCAGTTACACATATCTATTGACGTGTTTTTTTCTGTGTGTTTGTTTTTTGAAATCGAACAAACAATGATTTTTCTTGACAAGTCTTGGAGAGATGCACTTTAGTAATGCTGAATATCTCTTGTGGAGATTGAAAGGGGTGATGATGTGCTTGAACTTTGTGCCGTTTGTCTTTTTGTAAGTTTCCTATTAGACTTTTCTTATATTTCAGACACATTACTCGTCTTCTCTGTCTAGTAGCACTCTATCAAACACTTCTTATCACGGAAAATGCCAAGCACTGTACACTCATGTTATAAAAAGACTGTTTAACCTTGGTTCACCTTGAGGATGAAGTATAGAAGCTTTATCGGCCGTACAAACACTACACTATGCAGTTTGACCATGTAGCATTCTGAAGGGCTTGGCATGATAAGATGTGACTGGTTGCCATTACGAACGGTCCTTTTTTTGTACCTTAGTATTTGAAAAGCTGCTCAAAAGGTGCAGTTTGTTATTTGCATTTTTCTGTAATTGTCTGATGATGAGCCTAATAAAATATCCTTGTGTTTCCTTTAGGTTTTTTTCTCTTCGCTGCGTTGAATGTGTCTTTGTGGTTTCTTTGTCTGAGCAGTAATGCTGTTTGGGATTCCAGGTTGTGGAATGAGTGAATTGCTAGTCTTAACATGTTTCTCCTGCTTTGACTATAATGTGAACCTGCATCTAAGGGCTGGGACACACCAAACTAGTATTGCAGATTAAAAACAACTGTTGTCGCCTTGTGTATGGACCAAAAAGCTGTCAGTGAACACACCAAACGGATGGCAGCCAAATGAATCGAGAGAATGTGTCTTTCCATCTTTCCATATCTGTTTTCTTGTTCCACAAAGGGAAACCGGAAGATGAATTGTGTACAAAGTGTGCACAAAGTGTTTAGTGTGATTGTCAGTAATTGTCACTCGGCTCATGCAAATATGTCTAATATTTGAGTAATCCACTCCGTTTTCGCCACATTTCTCAAATAATTGCAGTTACAGCCAGGTTGCTCGTGTTTCTTCTTGACTTGAATTGTTTTCTTGGGTACATCACTACAGTTTTTGTCCTCACACACTGATTAATTGCTGAAAAACCAGTCAGAACACTCTCTTCAGCTGATCTCAAGTTCTACATGCTGCTCTATTGGGGTAACTTAGTCTGATGTTAACCAAAGGAAAGTGTGGAACCAAACCAACTAGCCAGAGAGATGAAACCGAAAACCAAAACCCCATTTATTGCTTAATGCATTAAGGAAATGGTATAAGCTTTGAGGAGTAACCTCAGCGTATTCCTAGTTTTCACTGAGCAATAATTATGTACAGTACGGTATGATTTGTTACATGCTAGACAGAGTCTGCAGACATTTTTTTTTTTTTGTTTCTGTGCAGAATTATGTAAGAAATCTGTGTAATTATGTTTAGATCAATAGTTAGTAATTGTTTAGATTTTAACTTTGCAGTTTATTTATAATTATAGTGCCTGTTTTAAATATTTATAATTTCAGAGAGATGCGTTTGCATCAGTTAGCCTGTCATACTAAGCAAAGACAGTTGATGTTGTCCATCCACAAGATGGCGACAGAGACTGCTTAATAAACCCTTAGAGGAGAAAAACAGCATAATATCTAACTACAGCTGATCAAATCATTATTAAACTGGTAAGTGACATTCTAAGTCGATCTCTTTTGTGTGTTGTAGTGCTGTAATTATACCATAGTAATTGTAGTGTATTGAGTGTGAGAAGGGACTCTCATATCAGAGATGTATGTATTTTGTGTTGGCCACTCTTTGTATAACCCTGAGTTACTTTGTGGCCATCTGTTTACCTCTAATGAGTATGCCCACATGATTTTAACGGTTTCCTAATCGCAAACACAATTGTAATCCAGTAGTGTTTGTGATGCTTTGGCTTTTCTGGGTTAATTATTGTGATATTCTGATTGCAACAGAGAAATACTGGGACATCTCTGTAGATTGATGGCATTTCATGTTACGTTTAGCCTTGTAATCTCAAAATGTGAGCAAAATCATGTGTTTTTTCATCACTTTAGATATTACGCTAGAGAATCATTTTCTTTTTTATACACAAAATTATGGGTCAAACGGTTATATTAACACAATATCACACTCGTAGGAGTGCGATTTGGCTGTGCATCGTCACTTTTGGGACACTAAAGTGCACGCCTCCCACTAGTGCCGTTAAAGAACCATATAGCACTGCTATGAGTGTAATATTGCTAATTCATGTATATCTATTTAGAAACACTCGTCTCTTATAAAAGCAGAAAATATTACTATACAAACACCTTTTTTGCATAAATCATATGAACTTTTTTTTGTATTCAATAATGTTACTGTAATTAACATAATTCATTTATTTTACACATTTATTTACACAGATTTATACGAGTAAATAAATAGACTCAACAATGGGCTAAATAACCTGAGTAAATTTGCAGATTTCATCACCCTCATCAGGCTTCCTCTGCCAACAGTACCCTTAATTGGTAGGCATAGTGTATTACAGAAAGTAGCAATCGACATCATTCTTGCTTGAAAAAGAAAACCATACGGGTTGCTTACATATTGCTCACATATCTTTTGTGCACTCAGGTTCATTATCTAAAATGTAGAGAAGCAGCAAGTGTGTGCAAATAGACAGAGGAAGTGGCACCTCTCACATTTTGCATGTTTTTAGATTTAACATGTGAATGATGGAGGACATACAGCAGGTCCTGTTTTTGGCATGTGGCTGTTCGTCACAAGAAGATGACAAGCTTTGTTTGAGCTCAAGTGGAGCATGGTTCATTGCTGTGTGCCTTCATATTACAACCGCATATTTTCTTTGTGTTATGTGTAATGTAATGTGTATTTATATAGTGTGTTTATAATGTATGAGGCCTTTAGAAATGCACGTCTCAGATAACAGAATGTCATGATTAACCGCGGTTAGCCACTGTACTCAGGGAAATTCTCTGACTCAGGAAATGCATTACCAGTAGGGACCAGTTCTGAAGGCTGACTCGATGCACAAGTGGCTGTTTTTCGTGGAAGGTGGAGGTGTTTTCTACATGTTTTGTTCATGTTTGCTAAAATCTAATACAATGCTGCACCTTGGATAATTGTGTTTTTTGCTTTCTGATAGTTTTATTTTAGACACAGTATTGGAAACTCTACAGGCATGACTGTAGGCCTACATACACAATTTTTCACAAAGCTCAGTTAGATGTTCTTTGAATAGTTATCAATAAACTGTTAAAGCCAAAACGAGTGGTAAAATACAGGTTGTAATTTAATTTAAAATAGTTTAAAAAAACAAAACAAAAAAAAACTATTTAATAGCGTGGTGGCGTAGTGAGTAGCACTTTCGCCTCAGCAAGAAGGTCGCTGGTTCAAGCCTCGGCTGGTCAGTTGGAATTTCTGTGTGGAGTTTGCATGTTCTCCCCACGTTTGCGTGGGTTTCCTCCGGGTGGTCTGGTTTCCCCCAAAAGTCCAAAGACATGCAGTACAGGTGAATTGGGTAAGCTAAATTGTCTATAGTGTATGTGTGTGAATGAGTGTGTATGGATGTTTCCTAGTAATGGGTTGCAGCTGAAAGGGCATCCGCTGCGTAAAACATATGCTGGATAAGTTGGCGGTTCATTCCACTGTGGCAAACCCCAGATTAATAAAGGGATTAAGCTGAAAAGAAAATGAATGAATAAAAAGGCTATTTTCTGAAAAATGGCCACATCCATGTTCATTCTATTGAATTCCATTGAAAAATGATGTATAAGTATATTTTGTGTTTTTGAAGAAGCAGTTATTCATGTACTGAAAAAATAGCCTATAGTCTGCCTTCACTCTTAAATAGGCTATTAATAATGGATATAAATGAAAGATTAATCACATTTCTAGACATAATTGTTTTAATAACTCATTTCTAATAACTGATATATTTTATCTTTGCCATGATGACAGTAAATACTATATGACTAGATATTTTTCAAGACTTCAAGACTGCTTTTATTCTAGCTAAAATAAAACAAATATGACTTTGCAGAAGAAAAATATTATCAGACATTCGGTGAAAATTTCCTTGCTCTGATAAACATCATTTAACAGAGGGCCGCGCCCTTAATTATGCAGACTTAATATAAACGAAATGGATGAGTTATAAAAAAAAATTCCCTCACAGTTGTCATAAAGGGTAATTTCAGCTATATGAAAATTTTATTTTTTTTGTACCAGACTGTAAACACCTTTTTTTCTGCTGTAAAGTTGGCCTTTTCAAATGTGGGCTCAGATATCTGCTCTATTATGGAGCCAGGACTCGCAGAATTTGGATGTATTGCAGTTTAAGGTCCATATTTGCTTCATGAGAGCGAGCGGGAGGTTGCCGCTTGGTTACAATACGAAAAAAAAAATAAGGTCGCAGATTCTGGTTCATTGGGTCTTTAAAATCAAACTCCTGTGTGGAGTTTGCATGTTCTCCCTGCATTTGCGTGAGTTTCCTCCGGGTGCTCCGGTTTCCCCCACAGTCCAAAGACACGCAGTACAGGTGAATTGGGAAGGCTAAAATGTCCGTAGTGTATGAGTGTATGAGTTTGTGTGGGAATGAGTGTGTGTGGATGTTTCCCAGAGATAAGTTGCGGCTGGAAGGGCATCCAGTGCGTAAAAACGAGCTGGATAAGTTGGCGGTTCATTCTGCTGTGGCGAAATAAGGGGACTAAGCCGAAAAGAAAATGAATGAATATTTTTAGCTGCAAACAATACACATACTCCAAATGGAAAAAGCATCTTGGTATTTTCAGTATAAATGATAAGTATAACAGATATGAAGTGACAAAAGCATTTTTGGGTGAAACGGATAAAGTGAGTCTGTATTGCTTGGAACAGGCAATTGTACACAAAATATTGATTATGTTTTAATATTTTATTAGCTTGCCAATCATGAAGCTTCCACATCATGAGTACAGCACCGGCTCCAGTAACCTGAGCCTTTGTTTTTATTTTACTGTTTTTACCAGTTGATACTGGGAGAAAAGAAATCCCATTTTGGGAGTGACCAATCAGAATCAGGATTGGTGTAATAATAGAGAATTTTATATTATAATCTAATTTCCTATTGAATCTGTTGGG